GGGGGGAGGCTGGGGGCTGGGGGTGACAGAAATATTTCCTTGAACTACACGAATCCAAAAAGAATTGACCTTGCATTTCAAAAATCCAGGTTGAAGTAAAGAAGGCACAGCCCAAGGAAGTGATGTATAGTCTTCAAGGAGGAAGAGGGCGTGCAAGAGGAGGAATGTTTGGTAGGGGAATATGTAAGTTTTTTTGCCAATAGATATAAATGTGGTCAGTGCTATAGCTTATTGATTTTATGTGTTTTCGTCTTCAGTTTATCCACTTCCTGGTTATGGCAGAACACAAGGATTCCCAGTACCCGGACTAAGTGCAAACCCCTTTCAAGGTATATGGAACTATTTAGAGGGGTTTAATGGATACTGCATGGCTTAAATAATTGCTGATGATAACTGATGAAAACTGATAATAGCACCCCATGTTTCAAATTTATTTTATATAGAACCCTCCATCATTGCTGCAATGAAACCTCTTTGATGATAACTGATGAAAACTGATAATACCACCCCATGTTTTAAATTTATTTTATAAAGAACCAAAGTCCGGCCAGAAAATCAATTTTTTCCTTTATGTTATTGCAGGTTATAATGCTGCCTATGCAGCTTATGCAGCCTTTGCTGCACAGGGTAGAGGCCGAGGTAGAGGAAGGGGATTTATCACTGGCTATCCAGGAGCTATTGGTAAGCTACTGAAACTATTTTTCATACTTATCTTGATATTTTAAATCTTGGGATTTCAAGACTGCATGTTTGTTTTTTCTATCCTCTATGAACTCTGAGAAATAGATGAGTAGTTTAGCCAATCAGGGTGCAAAACTAGTATAGTTTCTTGGTACTATTTACCAACAGCCAAGGTTATGAATATTATTATTATCATTATCATTATCATTATCAATACTATTATTATCATTATYGTTATCATTATGTAATATATACAATATGAGTAGCCGTGTTGTATCAGATATACAACCACGATTATTTATGAGTTTTATAATGAGTAATACATTAATTCATCATTCTGTTTCCCATGAATTAAGACAGTTATTATACTACCAATTTATTTTAGGATTTCCAAATTATGTTGTAAACCAAGGAGACCAGCGACGACCAGCCGGAGGGCAATACTATGCAGAGTATGCAGCTATTGGTAACTCAGGAGCAAGGGGAAATAACCCACGACATGAAGTTCAACAGCTTGAAACAATACCTGATTATCAGGATTATGGAGGTGATTATATAAACGATGATTATGACACTTGCTTAGGTTACTCATTTTGGCAGATGAAATCAAGACCTTTTCCAGTGGATTAGCTTGGTATGCAAACCAGTGTCTCTTTTACCAGCTGTGTTACTTTGATATCAAAACTTTCCAACTGAGCAGTGAATGCGGCATGCAAAGCATAAGTGGACAAAATGACTGGCCCAAAGCATTTTTTATGCTTGAAAAAACAAACCAAACATGTCAGTAAAATGAGATTGTCTTTATCCTTCCCTTCCATATTTCTGCTTCTTGTAGGCACGTATATTGTTTTAGTCAAAGAATGCAAAAGTTGGATTGCAGTAGCCTGGGAATGAGGGCCGGCACAAAAACAGCTAAACATGCTGTGAATGGCTGAAATAAAATTTCACCGCTCAGCTTGCTATCTTTTACAAATGTAGTTTGCATATGAAAAGAAATATTGCCTTCTTATTTGCAACTGTTAAACAAAAGAATGATACTCTTTGGAATGACACTTGGTCTGTAATGGGAAAACATATTACTCCAAGATGAATTAGGCCTGTTGATAGTACATTTGGTATGTGGTACTCTCATATAGTTTACGCTTCTCTTGTTACTAGCTAGCTATATGAACATGTGGAATGTCAATCTTCAGGGTTGATCTGTGAGGTGATAGTTTATGTTCTCTGGTGAAAGAATTGAAAGGGATAAATTTGAAAGAGGATTTGACCTTGTCTTATCTTGGCAAGAACATGAAAAAGGTCATTATAATAAAAACAGTTTCAAATTTGCAAAGTTTGATAAGCTATGAAGAAAATTTACATTATGACTGGTATTTTTTTCTGTTGGTATTGAGCCAAAATGTGCTGACAAACCTTTCAACACTGGCTAGTTACAGATATACTCTTTCTTATTGTCCAGGAAGTAAAAAATATTGTGCAGTCTGAAAATATGAAGAAAATGTTATACAAAGTGTATAATATGCCTGGTATTTTGTTCTGTTTGTATTTTTTTCTGTTGGTTTTGAGCCAAAATGTGCTGACAAAGCTTTTATTACTAGTAGATATTCTTATTGTCCAGGATGCATTTCATTTTTCGCCTAAAGCTACTGCTTCTCCTTACACTTCATTCATGCTTATGTCACTTCCTGTGTGCTTTATTACTTAACAGAGCATGGAAAAAAACTGTTTTATTTGTTAATCAAAGGAAAGATCTTTTTTTGACTTTATGTGTACTGGAACATGTAAATATTCTGAAGGCTAACCCTAAGCAACAGAGAACTGGAAACTGGAGTAAACCACTAAGAGAAAATTCATTTTTTATTGGGGAGGGGGTGGGGGTGGGATTTACAGAGAGGTCATTAACAAAAATCAGGCTCAAGAGGGGGACCATACAAGTAAAAACCAAGTTGCACACCAAGAATGGAAGAAACAACAGAGAGGGGGGTCAAATTTGTTGTATGGGTTACCATGGGTTACCAAGCAAATCCCACAACCCCCCTCCCTCCCTCCCTCCAAGAAAAAAATGAACAGTCCTCAACCAAAATTACTTTAAGTCATTGTATCTCTCATTAAAACTTTCTAACATGTTGCGTGTCAGGTGGGATGCAAGCATTAAATGGATATCACCAAGGTCAGCATGGATATGGACCTCCTCCTACCTCACCAGTATCAAGGGCATTTGCAGCAGCCACCAGTCCTGGTCCAGTCAATGTTGGTCAAGAAATGAACTATATGTCAGCAGCTGGAGGAAGTGGTGCTGGTGAGCTTGGGTTCACGGCTACTAGTCCCCAGCCAAATGCATATAATCCAGGCTTGCAGGTATGAACACTCAGGGTCTTAAAATAACTGAGAATCATTTCTTGCAATGATCAAAAAACTTACCAAACAAAACTATTTATTACAAAAGAAGAAAACAGACTAGAATATCATAATGGAAAATGGAAAACCTCTAATATGATTAATTGGTGATTACACATTCTGTTTAGCTGCACCCTTTGCTTTTTTGTTTTTTCATATTTCTGTTTTTACTTGTTTTTTTTGTTTTTGTTTTTTTTGTAAGTTCAGTATTTATTTAACCATCTGTTTGAACTTGTAAGTTTAGTATTTAATGCTACCTTTATAATCAAATATGCAAATGGTGTAGTGTGCAATATATGAATGACTTACCCAGTTTTTGTATAGTACTGACAAATCAGTCGGTACCTTTCATATTTTTGACTGGCAGCAGCAAAAAAAAAAAAGTTCAGCAAGCAGCTTGCAGCTACAGAGTTTGCATGTTTATGAAAGTTTCCAACCTTGGAACCAACATCCTGAACATCATTTTGAACTTCAGTAATTTGGTTTGAACTTCTTAAATTATTTAATAAAAAAATATTAATTAAAATTATTAATTATTCTCAAACTTCTTAACAAATATACGAGGTTCGTTGGTAAACTTCTGAACATCCAAACAAACTTTGGAACCTGTTTGTCAAAAGTCATGTGAAATTCACTGTAAACAATTTCAACATCAACAACCATTTTAACAGCAATATGTAAATGTTAACTTCCCCACCTTGTCGCAGGGGTCAAGGGGTCAGAGTTTCAATTGACTAATGTATTAAGCAGACCCCTTGTTAGGGAGACACCTTGATGCTTTCATTGATAATGGCTTATGAAGGGCAAGACAAGTGGGTGATCCAAATTATAACCAGGATTTTTATAGTTAACCATCTTTTGATAATTTTTGTATTTCAGTTTTGAAAGAAGAAATCACTACTGTAAGTGTTAAAAATTGATGATTTTAAAACCAACCAAACCAAACTGTTTCAGTATAATTTTAGAATTAATAATTTCATTGATAATGATGATGATGATGATACAATGTGTTGTTCCAGAAATCATCCATACCCACCCCATAGAGGAATTTTGAATTTCGGAAGAGTAGGGGGGTCAGAGAAAGAACAAAAATTACAGAGTTTGTATGGAAGAAAATTGGAAATTCTGGGGGGTAGGGGGGTGTCTTTAAAAAATCCCTCTGTAAGAGGGGTATGGATAATTTTTGGAACTACACAATTATTGAAATAAGACAACAATAAAACCAATTGAATGGGGAAATTTTCTTTTCTATTTTTGAAGGATTCTAATTATATGATTATATAAGGTTTTCAATAACAAATTGCCTAAGGATCTAACACTAATTATTTTTGAATTGTATAATAACAATCTTCTTTATCTCTCCAGATTTGAATGAAAATTTCTTGACTTCAAAGTAAGTGCTAGAAGACTACAGTTTATTGGGAATAAACAGTTTAACTGCCCTACAGTCCCCTTCAAAAGTTATCTTAGTTATCTTAGATTCAAGGGTGACGAGAAAATACAAAAGAAATGGCACAACTTTCATGAAAAATTGCAATTTCTTTTGTATTTTCTTGTTAGTGTCATTCAAAAAAAATTGAGAAAGGTCTCTATCTTTATATATTTTTATTAATAAATGTCAGGCTCAGATCTCCTCCCATTTCAATTATTTCATGTTTCCTCCTCATTCCTATTTTTATCCCATTCTTATCATGTGATATTGTTATTTATTATATAATTACCAATGAAATATCTATTTTTCTCTATTTCGAAAAWTTGATATCTTCACACGTGAAAATAACATGTTATTTTCACGTGTGAAAATAACACCATTGCGATGGCTATTCAAAAATACACGGAAAGAATTGCCTGAAAAAGCCAAAACATACTTTCATTGATAATTATATAATAAACAGAATATTACATGGGCGCTTGGAGATACGAAATTTATCTTCTCGTGTTGAAAATCTCTCACTCGTTCGCTGCGCTCACTYGTGAGAGATCTTTTCAATACTCGAAGATAAATGTTGTATCTCCGCGCGCCCATGTAATATCCTCTATGTCTTGTTTCAGTGAAAACTCAAGACAAACAAAAGGTATTATTTGAAAAGAGGAGCCAAATGTTACGCCAAACCCAATAGAGACCACAGTCAAACTATCCAGCCTCAGGTGAGATGGCCTACACCCACAAAAACCAATTTGTTTTAAGTCATACAATATGACATTTGTCCAATTTTAAATTAAGGTTCTCTTTTATGTTTGTACTTATATGTTACACTTGGCTGGCATGTTATTTGACTACATGAGGTTGGTCTACAGCCAACGATATGATTATTTTTAGTGATTTTAAATTGATTTATTGTAGAAAAAGGCAAATTGCTTTTAAATTTTAGTGTAGTTTTTAGTCCTGCTATTGATGGTTTGGTCTTGAAAGCATGTTCAAAGCTAGTGCTGTGGAAACACATGATACGAGACTTAAAAGCTCATGGTGGCTGATTCAACAATGCTTTTGTCTGTTTCTTATGCAAATTTTTGCTGATATACTACAATAAAGCTTGTCTGGATGTCATACTTGACAAAGAAGCTGTCATGCCGTTATTTTATTTCAGTCTCTTTCAAGAAGACATGAATTGGYATATGAAATATGTTTATCCTTTGTCGCCAAACCAGACAGCAGGATTCAAGATGTCTATGACGAGTGTGTTCCATGGCACTAGCCCCATAACACAATATTACCTTCAATTTCTTTTAGTAAATGCTTTCAAAGCCAAACCTGGATGTGGAAAACGAATTTTTATCTTCCTTTCTGGTCTAATGTATTTTAAAATTATAGTAATCACTGTACAAACTTATTTTAGTCAATTTAAGGTAATTTTGGTGTATGGAACGTCATTGTTAGATAATATTCTAGACCATGTGCTTGCCAAAATCATGCCTTGATTCATCTCACTTAACCATTGCTTTCTTGTGTAGATGGATTCTCACCCATATTCTAAATCCATATCAAATATCCTCAAAAGTTTCAGTGTAAGTGGAATTAGCCTCCATGGCTTAAGATTTTGTCTGTCTGTCCACTCTAATTTTCCCTGTCATTAACGAGGGTGAGAGTTATGTTTTGGTAAGCATGGTCCCTCCATAAGGTAAAAATGCAAAGTAGATGCCGTAGGACTAGATATATATATATATATAAATATAGGGTTGAGATCTTCCCTCACACCCCCGGCTCTTCCAGTCTTTTTTGTGTCTGTCTGTCTGTTCATCTGCATGTCTGTGTCAAGCATCAAATGCTTCTTTTTGTCATTCAGTCTCTCTTAAACTCAGAGTTTATATGTTTCATTACAGTGTGTTGTGCATAATTATGTCATATCATTATTTTGTCAGTTTCAAAAACTGACCTTTCCTAGGATTATAAAGCAGCTAAGGAATCGCCAAACAGCAACATCTACATGCAGGGGGAAAAATAAACCAAACTCCCTGCGTAGCACAGGAAGCCCAAATGATATTTTCAATTGGCTAATCGCATTACCACCAACATTTTGTCAACATTGTGTAGATATTTCTGTTTGGTGGTGCCCTTTCTTGCTTATTTGAGAAAACTTACAGGAAGTCGCCCACAATGTGAGGGAACACCACTCCGGTATAGCAGTGCAGGCAGGCTGGATACATGTTTAAACAAGACTAGGCATGGATATTTTCTTAGTGTAGAAGTCTGTGGAAGAGTATTTAAGTTTTCTCAAAAGAAAATTTCAATTTGAAGAATTAATGAACCCCAACATATATACAAAGCCAGGCCAAGAAAATTATGCAAAACAAATGAGAGTGAATGAATTAGAGGAGAGAATGTAGTGAGAGAGAGAGAGTGAGAGAATGTGAATCAATCTTCACCAAACACACCACTCTAATAAGTTATCAGCATTGGTGTAGATATTTAAAAGTGGTGGAAGGGGATACCATTGTCTGTCCACAGGGCGGGCCCTGATAATTTATAAATCTGAGACTACCTCGTTAAAAACTATAAATTGGAATTTATGTCACCATTATATGCAGCCAATAAGCCAATCCAAAGTTGAAGGGAAAAACTGGGTCGAATTAGCATAGCAGTACATGTTGAGACTGTCTTAGGGGACATAATAGACTCCATTTCGAAGATATGTCCCTTGAAACAGTCCCACAATGTACTACAATGCCAACGCAACCTTGTTTTCTCCTCAACCTCGAAATGGCTAATAGATAAAGGTGCAGTACAAGTGGCTTGGAACTAGTATGGTAGCATCTTTCATAGAGTTGGCATAAATTGTCAGGGCCGGGCCTTGTCTAGGGTCAGTCAATTCCAGTCAGGCCTGGCTGGCTAACCAATATTTCTTCATCCCAAAGAAAAGAATTTAAGAAATGTGCACTCCATACGCCGAGTGTATTATATTTATTATTCTATTCTTCAATTATCTATTGTCTTATCGTTTTTATCGTTTGTTTTGACTATATTGCACGAGATATATAATGGTATCGAAGCATTGTCTTTGACCATGAGTTAAGTAGCCTTGTCACGTGATTCTCGACGTCATGCGCATACGTACCATACATTTGTCATATACACAGACATGCATGCACTATATTAGCCAGTATTGCATGTGTATATAAGATTATTGCACGGCGCGCATGTTTGTGTATGATTCCACGTTCATTCATCTTCCCTCCAATAATTTCTTCCCATAGTCTTTGGACCAACTAATAAACAATCAAACTCTACTGTTTATACCCCTGTGTATTCCATCTTGCCAAAGCCACAGCTCGGCAACCATATTCGTAGGTTAGACCTCACTCGTAGAGGGTGTGGCTTTGGAGCATTTGAAAAGTGGTTTTCGCATTACAGGGATTTCAACAAATTCTATCATATTTCCACTTCATGCATTTTTTAAATGAAATTATCTGCTCAACGCAAAAATCCTCTAGGCAGTTTGCAATTCTTCCTATAAGTTGTGAACAAGTGCTTACTAACTTATAAACGAGGACTCCCTCGTTACACTGCGAGGGGGTTATATACAAGCTGTCGACGCATGTTTCTTTCTAGAGTTTGATCGCTTATTAAAGGCCTAATAATTTATCAATATTGTTCCTTTATTATACCTTATTAACAATCACTTATTCGCGCCCAAGATGATTACATTCATATGTCAGTGAGTCGACTAACGAGAGCTATCTTTCCAAGAAAGACTAGTTTAATTTAAAGACTCGCCCCAATGCGAGTATAAACAGGCTCCAAACGAGATGGTCACTGACAATAAAAGCTTCGTAAGAAGAAGAATAAACAAGAAAGAAAGTTTGTATTTTTGCAAAAGACGATTTTTACAATCAACTTGGTTGTAGGAGTAGCTTGTGTTGTCGTATCTCTTCAAATGTTAGTGTCGTAGTCAGTGATAGCCTCTAGTTTTCTCCTGGCGGGTGAGGTAACTTTGTCTTTTCGTGATTAATCTTACATAAGGTCGACATGATAATGTATCTTAGAGTATTCATATGCATAAACTTTAGCTTCTCCTAGCCTTAATACACGCTTGGAAAGGTGTCCTGTAAGTGTTAACCCTGTTTTCTTTAGCATTTACTTTTTGATATTACAAGAACGCAAATCTTACAGACGAGGTACTCGGCACTGTTTAAAAAAGTTTAGAATTTTAACATCTAAAATAAGCATCTAAAACTTGAAATTAGGGTTCACTTTTCTGTTGAAGTGCAATGGATTTAGAGATAGTAAACTGAAAAACTCCCCCTGATTCCTTATCATGTCGATCGCACCTCACCCCCCACTTAACCTCTCTTGTTTACTGTACTTTCAAGGGGGTGTGCTTTCCCTATGGAATGCACCATCTGTAGCTTTTGATTAACCTATCAGTCCAATATCTAATTGATTAACTATATAAGCTGAATCATTAGTCCGAAGTAAATTTAATTCGCTCTTAATCCGTAGAAAAGGGAGGTGCGTTCTGGGTGTGACCACATAAGGATTCGCTAATCTATTAACAATCGTTTGGTTGGTCACACACAGAACAATCTCTATCTGAAATCTTTGTAGTATCACACTATGTGAAGTAACCCGAAAAAAGGCGGTAACCTTGGTAACAAGGACCCAGATTCTACTCTAGTTGAGGTTGGAGCCGATCATTTCGGATTACTTTACACAGGTAGTGAAAGTGATAACTTTTCTGCTTAATATTTTGGGTAAATAATGCCTCAAAATCGACAACAGAAGCAATCGGTAGGAAGGTCAAGGTCGTGGTATTTTTAGCATAGTTACGGCCTCCTTTCGTATAACTGTTGCTTCTTGCTGAAGATTCAAGTCTAACCTGGATCTTTCTGAAACTTCAAATGTTCTGTCTTCGTCTAACTTGCCAAAGTTCGGATGCGAACCCAGTAGATTGAATACGAGTTGAGAAAAGCACAGCTTTCTAATGGCTTCCTTATTGGACGGCGTTTATTTACTCGCTTCTGATTGGTCCACACTTAAAGTCTTAGAGTACCGTTACCTTGCATTCCACACTCGTTTAAATCTACTGTATGGTTAGTAGTTTTCCTTTACCGTTAGGTAAAAACAGAACACCACCGGAACAAAACTGTTAGCTTCAACTCCCTACGCCGGTTTTCTGCTGTTATTCAAAAGCTACAGCATCGGTGTAAGAAATGCATTGATACTGTGACAATAGATTAAAACTTCAAAATATTACCATTAGTTAAAACTTGGATTTGATATTTCGTAGCTCCGAGAACATTCCTATAACTATCTATGTATCTATCAATATATAATGTATAAATAAATATACGAGTGTTTATTAGTGGCATCGTGTGAAAGAAGTACTGTTGACCAGCAACGTACTGCTCCATTAAAAACCTTAATAATCCTATTTGGGGTACAGGTAGCCCAAGCATGTTTACGAGATTCGATGCTTGGGTTACCTTTGTTGATACTTCTTTCACATGAGGGAAAAACCATTTGGTAACAAACAAAGCTTATAAAGGATATTTTATTCCAAAACAAATCGAGCATATATTTTCAAAGTTTTCTGAAAAATTCAAACGAAGTTAGGGTTAAATTTTTATTGATACCTTAGTCTAGTTTTCTATGTTTATCGAAGAAGTAAACGATTTTTTCAAACCATGTTGCCAGGTTCTGATAAATTCTTGTAAATTTTTAGTTCTTCGTTTTCTTCTTTGATAAATGTTTGTTTATTAAGAACTTGGATATGGTAGAATATCTGTGGCTAGAGTGAACTGAACTTCATCTATCTATTTTGCGCTACTATTTAAGTTGTGCCTGGCATTGAAGTGGGTTCCAACTCAAGCGCGAGTGGCAATGAAGTGGCTTCCACTTAAGGCGCTTGGAGCACAGGAGTGGCTTCTACAACGAGGGCAAGAGACTTTAGTGTCTTCCCACCTAAGGGAAGCGTTGCTCTCAAGTAGCTTCCTCTAAGGCACGCGTAGCACTGAAGTGGCTTCCACCTTAGGCGCGATTAGCACTAAAGTGGCTTTCACTAGCGATGTGCGCATTGGATGTCTTCGTTTTCTCGCAAATAAAACCACAAGATAGATGAAGTTAAACACTGTAGCCATCAGACCTTACACAAATAATCTCGAGCTATAGAATACATCTGGTACAAAACCTGGTTCCAAACCATCCTCATATCATAATCAGGGGCATGGTGGATATTTTAGTTTTAATCTACTTTTGTCAAACCTTACTATTCAATTGTCGGTAATCTAGTCCTCCGAACGTGTATATTGGTCGTTGACTGAAATAAAATACATTTGTATATATATCTTTGAAGATTTTGATCTTAATATTTGAGGCTCGACATTTAGGACGGATGAGCCATGCAGGGCTCTTACCATTGGGGGGGAGGTTGCCACACGCTGATCCAGACAAATCGTCTCACAGGGTAATTGGCATTAGCTAAAGTGCTGTCAATCACATATATCACGAGAGTGCTTTGAGGTACGTGAAATCGCCGTATTCAGGAATGTACGAAAGTGGGCCGTAAAAATTCAGCTTTCAGTTGACGAATCTCACCGCTGACTGAAAACTGACGAAAAAAAACAGAAGTTCCCGGGACATGATCCCAATTGGCCTGCCTGCCGCCGGACTTATAACAGTTAGCTACGTTCGGCTGCACGCAGGCTAGATCCCAATGAAATTCTTAAAATATGGTTTTCAGAAATGCTATTTCCTGCGTTCTCGGGATATTTTGAACAAATAAGGGTAGGAAAAATGCATCGTAGACTAAACGTGGGGCGCGGTCCCTTCGCCTCCCTACTCCCCTAAATCCGCCTCTGAACAGCGACAATACTTCCAGTCGTCGAGTGGTAAAGTAGCCAGGTGAGCGGCACTCAATAATTGTGGGGTAGGGATTCAGAGGGGGACGATTACCAACCCCACGATTACTGTGGGCTGCTCCGCAGGAAAGTGCTGAAGCGTCCAATGGCAGCCGGAACATACGGCTATGCCGGAGATATGATAAACCCCTTGCTATGTCCAGCAAACCTGGACTTGCCACAAGTCGACATGTCTTGTCTCCCGAGCAGTTTTTTATTCTCGAGCGAAGCGAGAATTTGGCGAGTCAAGATAAACAAAGGGCGGCTGATTTTGCAACAGGCTACAGCAAACCCAGAAATCCGATGTATCGCTTGGTCGCTGATGTGTGGGAGTTAAAAATTAGTCCGACATATATTTACATACATTTACTCCTCCGTTAGTTCGAAAGTGTCGTATTATTGGTTATGGGATCCCTGTGTTGTGCTTTGAATCATGCATGACGTCGCAGACATCATGGCGAACAGCGAAACAGAAGATTGGCGGTCGCCACATTTTCGCCAAAAAGTAACAAGCCAAATGTAAGTCAGATTATTCTTGGCGGAAATATGTGAGATAAGGGAATAAGGAAACAGTAGGAATATTGAATACTGGGCTATGAACCACGAATATGTGTAAAATTTGTTGTCAATGTTGTGCTTTAGGAGGTTGTTTTTTAAACTTCCTTTGCAGTGACGATGCTTTGCGGAAGTCTGGTAACCCACAAATGATGACAAGAAATGCTGCTGATATCGAAAGAGATGTGTTTTCTAAAGCGAAATCTAGGGTAAACTATTTTTCTCTCTGATATATATCCCTCTTTGCCATAAAACCTTTATTTGTCCCTAAATCTCTCGACACATGCTATCCACAACCGACCAAGGGTTGTGTCATTAAATACAAATACTAAATTTAATAAACTACTGCTAATAAATAGTGCTAAACTCGTAGAGTAGTCGAGTTTTGAGTCGGAACCTAAGATAATCATTCTAAAGATACTCCTAAAGACCATGACTTGTTCAAAATTTCATTATTCATTATTTTGAGACTGATTTGGAAATTTTCTGTGGGAAAAGCTTGTCGATCCAAAGTGACTATCAATAAATGTGAGAAGGCACTTCTTTTTTATTAACTCGGTGTTTATTAGATGATCATAGGCAACAACACGATTAATGCCTCAAATTAAATGAAAACTACTTATTCAGTACATTGCTCATTTGCATATGTCATGCATTTGCATACAGTATGTCGTTTTCATCTTGAATGCTTTCCATATACTTGGTTGTCTGGGCCCAGTTCTACGAAGGGTGGATAGAACTATCCCACATCCCTTAGATTTTTCAGCCTCATTACTCAGAGAAGGAATCCTCTCCTCACCACTCAGAAATTCCAATTACTCTCTTTCTTCACAATACCTCTCCTTCATAGAAGATCAATAAACCATTGGGAATTTCCATAAACAAAGATAGTAGTACTAAAAGATATCTTACTAAAGAAAATTATTTTGTTATTTTTTAGGATGAGTACATGTGTTATGTTGCCCGTGTTTTGGTGTTTGCACGTGACGTAGGTAAGATTTTTGTTTCGTTTATTGACGAAATGTTACAAGCTACGGTTTCAGAACTAATTCTCTTCGCGAGTTATATACGAGTTGGTTCGAAATCTAAAAAATGCGAAGCAAAATAAAGCGTTACTTGTGTAGAAAAATATATATAAAGTTTAAGCGATCTGACTTACC